CAGGAAGAGAGGGGGAGAAGGTAGAGAAGGAGGGGAAGAGAGGGGAGACTGAGACTATAGGTTATTTGAAGATTAGAGTTCAGAAAGTCTAATACCTTCTAAGTTTGAAAACCGGTAATAATGACATACAAGATGAAGCTTTTAAAACACAGCCATCTGCCTTAAACAGTAAATTTAAAATTCCTGAAGGAAGTTGGAATTCAATAAGACAAAAACATTAGGAAGTTTGATAACTTATTTTTTGTTTGTTAAGTACTTCCACATTAAGACTGTGTATGACATCAGCATTTAGGTAAGAACATGGCTCTGTATAGCATTTGGGAGTCCAGGACACTTGGCATCATCAACTCTGTGTGCACAGCATGAATACCATGCCAACTTGGTTGAAGGGAAGATGTTCCTAAAATCTCTCAAAGTTGAATGAACAGGTTACTTGGAGCTAATGAAGTCTACTTTTATTTCAAAATCATTATTTGATGTTATATATATTCTGTAAGAGAGTGACAGAAAATTAGATACAAACACATTGAATAATTTCCCAGATTCATATAGCCAGAAAGTTCAGATTTAAATTTGGCAAAATTACCTGAAATGCTGTTTTTATAACTTTAGTTTATGCTTTGGTGCACTGAGATGGCTAATGAGTTTGTGGAACTCATGTTCCAAGATGACTCACTGACATAGTCTCAACAGTCAGGGGCTGGAGAGAGAGCTCAGTGGTTAAGAGCACTTATTGCTCTTCCAGGGGACCTGAGTTTAGTTCTTAATACCCACATATGGCAGTACACAACAAACCCTTAGATCCACCTCCAGGATAATCTGTGGGCACTGCATTTGTGTATGTGTGTGTGCGTGCGAGTGTGTGTGTGTGTGTGTAATATGAACTTTAAATAGAAGCAATCAGACTTTGCTAGCTCCAGGTAACCTGTCCATTTGAGATATTTTAGGAACATCTTCCCTTTACTCAATTACTTCAGCAAAGAATTTTCTGGAATTTTTTTTTTAGAACAACTTTTGTACCCATAAACTTATTATCTCTCCGGGGGGATTATGAGTGAGTCTGAGGCTGTTGAATAAGAGTAACACAGTCATCTTAAAGCTATAAGAAGATATGAAATGTATTACATTTTTACATCAAGGTTGGTAAATCACTTAAACTGTTGAATTGAGGCTAGCATTAAAGCCAAGGGATGGTGACCTTTAGGCCTCTGCACTGATTCCTAATTCCTACTTTTATTGTTTTGCTTTACTTGTAGATACTCTTCTAATGAGGCTCCTTGTAGACATTATTTTTATGATCTTAACCTAGAATGTCACCTTCCTCCTCAATGCTGGTTCCTCGTACTGAGGAGATACTGCAGTATTTGTGGCTATGTCCACTTCCTAGAAAACTGGGTAAGAATTCCTACAAGGTACAATTTTAATATTCAAACAGACATAGTTATCCGTTACATTTGTTTGTTTGAGGAGGACCCTGCACTTATCTCCACTATGTACTCAGTGGAAGAGAGTCATACATAGTCATGGTACAACTTGATAAGAGGCTACCCTAAGGTCCAGCCTCCTCATCCTCTCTTCATTCTTGGGTCTTTCCTTGGCAGTATTATTTTACCTTATGGCATTTGAAACTGAACATCTGAATCTAACACCGAGGTTTGGAATGGAAGGAAGGGTGAAAAGTTATTAACAATTTGGACCATTTTTCTTTGTGTCTTTTCATTAAAAAGACCAAATGTCGTAAGATAAAGGTGGCCCTGGAAAGAAATAATATGAGTAAAACAGTCATGAATAACTACTGGGTTTTTGTCAAGTATATTTAAGATTTCTTTGAGAGTTGTTTTCCCTCATTTTTCTGTAAGTCTTTAGAAAATGACCTATGTCGCTCCCATTCATAAAGGATGAATTATGGAGCATATTGCTCCAATTTACAGCTCTAAATTTAGCTATCTCCAAGTGCTTGATTTTTAAAATTATTGTTGAGCCATGAGGGACGGGCTCATGAGGCCCCACCCCTCCCAGGGGAACTATTTGCAGTTAATGGTGCAGGAGAGTCTCCTCTTCCATGGTGAAGCCACTGCTGGGTTGACCATGCTTCAGTAAATATACTCTACCTGTGTTCTGGAAAAGGAGGTGATTCCATAGGAATGAAAGGGGATGAGAGAAACTCATTGGTAGAAAAAAAATAAAATATAATATGTAAATGTTGTAAATGTACAAATTTGTCATAGAATAATATATTTAATGTTTTATTTTATTGAAAGTAGACTTTTTGTCATATAGTATTTCCCAATATGCTCTCCCCTCCCTCTACTTCTCCCAGCTCCTCCCCACCACACTTCACGTCTGGATTCACCACCTTTCTGTCTCCCATTAGAAAACAAAACAGCTTCTATAGAATAATTAAAATAAATCTAAAACATCAGAATAAGACAAAACAAACAGGAGGAAAGGAACCCAAGAAAAGGCACAAGAAACAGAGACACAGAAACACTCATTGACACACTTAGGAATCCCATAAAAATGTAAAAGTGAAAGCCACTATATATACTCAAAAGGCTAGTAGGGCAAAGAGACAAAAGGGTTAGGGAAATAAAATTTAAAAATTTTTAAAAAAATAAATTTTTTAAGAAGGGATAAAGACCTGACTTAACATTATGTAAAAAGGAACCTCCAAAGATTCAATTGAGTTTATTCTCTGTTGGTCATCTACTCCTGGGCATGCAGCCTACCCATAAGAACAGTTTCTCCAGTGAGACTCCTTTGGAGAAAACTAAATTTTCATTTCCAAGTGATTATTGATTGGAGTTAGCTTCTATGTTAAGGATAGGAGCATGTGTCTACTTCTTTCAGATCTAGGACCTCATCAAGTACAGACTAGTTGGGGTCCTGTGCATGCTGCAGTCCCTAGAAATTAATATTATGTCAATCTTGTTGTGTTTAGAGGGTTATGTTTCCCTGCTGTCCTGAATCCCCTCTGGTTTTTACATTCTTTCCACCTCCTCTTCCTCTGGGTTCTCTGAGCCCTGAAGGAGAGGGATTTGATGAAGACATCTCATTTAGGGTAGTGTCCCCTCTGCATCCTATCTGGCTTTGGTCTCTGTATTTGTTACCATCTGATTGAGGGGGAAGCCTCTCTGATGATGGCTGAGCACAGCAATGATCCATGAGTGTAGCAGAATGTCATTTTGAGTCACTTTATTGTTATGTTCCTTTAGTAGGACTGTAGTATTTGGCTTACCTGCTAGGTCTCACCGTGGGCTATCTAGTCTGAAGTTTTGGGTCACTAGAGCAGCAACAGGTATGGTTTCTATCTATTACTTAAGGAGTGGGCCTTAAGTAAAATCAGATATTGGTAGGTTCCTTCCACAAGCTTTGTGCCAACAATGCACTAGAACATCGTGCAGACAGGATACCATTACAGATGAAAGCATTTGTAGATAGTGTGGTGTTATGTTTCTTCTTTGGTAGCATGCGGAGTACTTTCCAATATCAAGAACACTATCCATAATGGTGAAGGTTCTAGGTGGCCACACTCAACTTCTCTGGGTTCAGTGAATTGTGTAAGTACTGTCATCAGCAATAAGGTAGTGCTATGTTTGTGGAAAACAACCAAAAGCTTTGACAACAGCCTGGGTTGTTCAGAGTTCCCATGATACCCCTTTGTCCAACAACTTTTGTTAGATGTAACCTATTCCCAGTAGTGGAAGCTTCATTTGGTGACACATGTCCTTTTGGGGCTCTGTCTTTCCTGTTATTTGGTAGTTTCCTTTAAATCTTCTTCATATATGTACATGGTTTAGGAAGCTTCTACTATATTAGGTTTCCATACTACCCCTCAAATGGCCTTTAATTTTGGATACATCCCCTCACTCATTCTGCTCCATGCTTGATCCTCCCATTCTAAACACTCACTCTTTTCCATCCGTATCTAATCTATTTCCATTTCCTAAGGAGTCCATTTGCCTCCCTTGTTCCTTACTCTATACACAACCTCTGTGGTTCTACAGATTGGCGTTTGCTTACCATTGAATTAACAGCTAATATGCACATCTGTGAATAAATAATATTTGTTTTTCTGAGTCTGGGTTACTTCACTCAGAATGATATGATTTTTTTTATCTGTGAATTTCATAATTTCTTTCTGGCTGTTATGCCTAGATCTTCAATGAGCATAGTTGAACAAGTTGAACAAGTTGAACAAGCATAGTTTCATACTACCTTTAGGGTAGTATGAAACATCCTTTGGGTATATGTCCATGGATATAGCTGGAACTTGAGGTATGTCTATTCCCTTCTTCTTGAGGAACAACCACACTGATTTCCATAGTGGTTGCACAAGTTTGCACTCCCACCAGTAGTAAATGACTGTTCCCCTTATTCCACATCCTCACCAGAATGTGTTGTCACTTGCTTTATTTCTTAGCCATTCTTATGTGCATAAGATGAAATTTAAAGTAGTTTTAATTTGTATTTCTATGATGACTCAAAAATGTTCAGCATTGCTTTAAGTGTTTCTCAGCCACTTGGGTTTCTTCTTTTGAGAATTCACTGTTTATATCTTTACACCATTTTTGATTGGGTTATTTGTTTCCTCAATGTCTAGTTTCTTGAGTTCTTCATATATTTTGGATATTAGTTCTCTACCAGATGTGTAGTTTGGGAAAACGTTTTTTCCCACTCTGTAGGTTGCTACTTGTTGGAATGATGGTGCCCATTGCTACACAGAAGGATCTCCATTTCATGAGGTCCCATTAACTAATATTTTTATCTTAGTGCCATGCTAACAGTGTTCTGTTTAGAAAGTCTTTTTCTATGCCAATGAGTTCAAGGTTCTTGTCCACTTTCTCTTCTATTATGGTCAATTTATCTGCATTTATATTGAGGTCTTCTATCTATTTGAAGTTGAATTTTGTGCAGAGTGATAAACATGGATCCATTTGCATTCTTCTACATACAGACATCCAGTTTGGCTAGAACCATTTGTTTAAAATGTTGTCTTTTTCCAGTATGTATTCTTTACTTCTTTATCAAAAATCAGTTGCCCATAGGTGTATGGATTTATGTCTGAATCATCAATTCAATTGACCTGATCAACATGACTGGTTTGTGCTAATACCATGCTGGTTTTATTACTATTGCTTTGTAGTACAACCTGAAATAGGGAACAGTGATACTTCCAGGAGTTCTTCTATTATTAGAATTGTTTGAGCTATCCTGGGTTTTACAGTGTTTCCATATGAAACTAAAATGTACCCTTTCAAGGTCTGTGTTGGAATTTTGATAGGAATTGCATTGAATCTGAAGACTGCTTCTGGGAGAATGGCCATTTTTACTATTGAAAACTTCAACTTGAATTAACCACACCCTCAAAAAACCTACAAGAAATAAGAAATAGCACAGTACAACAACTCTTAACATCAACGGTTTTAATCCCCCATAAATGGTGGTTATATCTTTCTTGGTAGGGAATTCTGGGATCCTGCCAGGTATTCTCACTGGGTATTCCAGAAAAAATGTGTTTCTAGGTACTGGGAGCTGACACTTAGGAATGGGAAAGAAGGGCATGGGGCTGAGATCATCCACAGGAGGAATACAATCAGAGTGTTCCACCAGTATCTGCTTAATGTCTCTGGGAATGGTGCAGAAGGCACAACTGGTGGTCTGCTAGAGAGCTGAGGTCACCTACCTATTAAGATGACTTATTTGCTTCTCTGTCAGGCTTGGCTGGTAAGTTCCTAGGGAATGCCTGATGGAGTTGGGGCATGGATAATGGCATGAGTGGGGAGAAGGAAGGTTGGAAGGGAATATCTGTGTAAACCACTAGACATGGGACAAGGAGGGAGAGGAGGTTGCAGCAGATGGTCTGCTAAGGAGTTAGAGGTGAGACTAAAGATTGGATTTGGAGGCGAGGAGGGATAGGTGAAGGTCTTCAATGAGCCTACATCCATTTAAGATTTTTTCATATATTTTATTTTTTATTATTTAAAATAATTTTAAATTGGAACATATTTTGGATCCTGTTCTTCCCTTCCCCCAAGTCTTTGGTCACAATCATCATATTGCTCCTAAAGAATTTTTAGAACAGTGGTTGATATACATTGAGGAATCAATATTGTTATTGCTATTACTCTGTTTAAAATTTAAAATACAAAAAATGCCCAACAGTGAAAGAAAAATATTCTTGAGCCTTGGTATCTCTAAATAGTAATATGAGTTGCTGACCTTTTTTTTCACAGTCAAGGCCTTTTCATGGGTGGAGGAGTGAGTCCTTTCAAAGACTTTTGCATCGTTTACTTCACCACTGACTCACCACAGCAACATAACATTTAAGAATTTGACGTGGATGTTGATATTTATATATTTGCATGTTTTAATTTTATTTTAATAGACTAACTCTTTTGTAATACCTATGAAAATCAGTGTTTTTAACCTGTACTGCAACCACAACCTAAAAATAAAACATTTTATTGTATTATTATGCTTCTAAATCTGCTAATTCAGTTTTTTATATTCCTAGGCTAAATTGCAAGAAAATGGGAGCTGGGGCAAAGTAATTACTAATCTTATTTTCAGTACCTTGTTTTTTAATATTTGTCAATTGAAAACTAGTCCTCCTTGGGGCTGGAGAGATAGCTCAGCAGTTAAGAGCATTGACTGCTCTTTCAGAGGTCCTGAGTTCAATTCCCAGCAAATACATGGTGGCTCACAGCCATCTGTAATGGGATCTGATACCCTCTTCTGGTGTGTCTGAAGACACCCACAGTGTACTCACATACATAAAGTAAATAAATAAATCTTTTTTTTAAAAAAAGGAAGAAAGAAAGAAGGAAGGAAAATACAAAGAAAACTAGTCCTCATTGTATGCAGTAATATGGTCTATGAACTTGCTTGAAAAAGAGTCAGTGGAGACTAAAGCCCACTAGAAGTATAGAGAACTCAGGTATGTAAACAGAACATCTATTAGGATCCTCCCCCATAGCTAGGTTGGTGGTGGCACATGCCTTTAATCCCAGGCTCAGGAGGCAGAGGCAGTCAGATCTCCTTCAAGGGCAACCTGGTCTACAAAGTTCCAAGACAGCCAGGGCTACACAGGAAAAAAAAAATGTCTCCAAAAAATAACAAAACAAAAGAAAAACAAAAACAAACAAAAAAATACCCTGGGACTGAGTAAATGGATCACTGACTATGAAGCTTGCAGTGACAAACTGGAACTTGGATCCCAAACACAGTGAAATTAAGTGGAGGGGGCATGATGATCTGTATACTATCCAAGTGTTCTGGAAGCAGAGACAAAAGGATCTTCTGGACAAGCTAGCTAGCTTGACTTGACAGCAAAAGACCCTGCCTCAGTAAATAGTGTGAAAAGCAGTAAAGGAAGACATCTGACATTGGCCCCTGGCCTCCACAAGCATGTGCAACACAGAGGCAAATGTAAAAAAAAAAAAATGAAAATAGATGTTCCTCCTGAACCAAAACCATTCTGTAACAGAAGTTCAGGGGCAGATAGTTTGACTCATTGACAGTTATTCTGTCTTGAATATATCTTCCTCTTTTCTTTTCCCATTCTAAAGTCACTCAGCTCCCATAGAAACCAAAGGGTATAATGCAACTAAACAAGGTGGTCCTTAAAAGAACAGAAATAGTACATTCATACACTAGGGAATAGTTAACAGGAAGCTTAGGATGAGGCTGTTTCTAGTGTCAGCCATTGACCTTCAATACATCACACAAGATGTTTACTAGGAAACTATCTGGACACCCAGGATTCCAATTCAGGAAAGACTGGTCAATGGATCTTTCATTTATTAATCTCCATGAAAATCTCTGACATTACCTAGAAAGAAGCCATAAGTAAGACTCTAATGTCCTTCAGGAACTTTGGGAAGAGGCACTGAGTAAAATGTTTTTCTAAAACTAGTATCAATAGAGTATTAACTAGAAATGTTTTGCTGGGCAGTGGTGGTGCACGCCTTTAATCCCAGCACTTGGGAGGCAGAGGCAGGTGGATTTCTGAGTTCTAGGCCAGCCTGGTCTACAGAATGAGTTCCAGGACAGCCAGGGCTACACAGAGAAACCATGTCTTGGAAAACAAAAACAAAACAACAAAAACAAAACAAAAAAAATGTTTTATTTTTTGTTTTTGTTTTGTTGTTGTGTTGTTGCTTTGTTTTGAGACAAGCTCTCAAGACCAAAAAAGTGGCCTTGAACTCTTGGTCCTCTTGAGTGTTGGGATCAAAGCCATCATCTAAAAACAGATCCCGTAAAGATTAACACCAAAACCACAGGATGCAGACTTTTATACATACATAGCTGTTGACAGTTGTGTGCTCAGATATCTTAAACTTAAAACCTATCTCCAAAAGAATAGTGTCTGCCTACCAGAAAACACATTTCCTAAAATGTGTTGGAGATTTCTTCTGATACAGCTGTAAAGGAAAATTCGGCAATTTACAAAAACAAAATGTGATTCAGACTTTGGATGTAAGCATTCTTGATAAGATGGATCTATGTTGAACTGTTCTACAGTGTATGCATGTTTCAAAAGATCACATGGTGCATGGTAGATAGGATTCAAAAAAAATCAGTCAATCAGAGTTAAGTTTCCTAAAGTACAAAAAGGATGTCTCCTGAGCCTTGGGTGCAGGGGTCACATTTTATTTATACACCAGTTATATCTAGGCTCCCTATACTCATGTATTCTCTGCATTTCAATAGTTGTGAGTCTCTGTAGTAGCCTACACCTGCTGCAAAAAAAAAAAAGACAAAAAAAAATAAACCTTCTTTGATGAGTGGTGGAAACCACACTTTCCTATAGGTATAAAGATAAATGTTGGTAAAACAGTGAGGAACTATATTGACCCTGCAAACTGGAACTAGAAGGTTCTGGGGTCTATGACCTCTTCAACCACATGTACTTGGCTAGTTTTATAGTATCAGGCACCAGCGAAGGAGGAGTGTTCCCCTCACTCCCACATCCTCACCAGCATGAGCTGCTAGACTTGTGTAATTGATCTTAGCTGTTGTGTCAGATGTAAGACAGAATCTCAGAGTCATTTTGATTTGCATTTCCCTGATGGTTAAGGGTGTTAAACATTTCTTTGTTTCTGAACAATTTGAGATTCTTTTGTTGAGAATTCTCTGTTCAAATCTGTACCTCATTTTAATTGGATTATTTGGGGGGGGTTGGTATCTAAGTTCTTAATATATTTTGGATACTACACCTCTATTGAATGTGGAGTTGGTAAACTTTTCCCACTCTAGGCTGACCCCTTATCTGATTAATGGTGCCCTTTTCTTTACAAAGTGTTTGAGCTTCATGGGGTCTCATTTATCAATTGTGCCTGCATTGCTGGTGTTCTGTTCAGAAAGTCTTCATCCTATTCAAGGCTATTTCCCATTTGCTCTTCTCTCAGATTCAGTATAAAAGTAACTTTTATTTTCCTGTTGTAAATGTCTCAGAGGCTTACTACCTCCATCTGCTAATCTAGGCCTAGTCCTGAAAGCTTGTAGCCTCAATAAAATCTTACCTAGGCTTCAAATATTTGCTGCCTCTGAAACTTGCTGCTGAATAAGCACAATCCTTCCAAGTTCTTTCCAATCTCTTTCTGACTGGTTCAACTCAGATATTCTGGCTCAAATTCCTTTCTACTCTAACTGATTCAATGTGGCTTCTCTCTAAGCCTCTGACTTTTTTTTCTGCTAGGCTTCAAACTAACTCTGGCAATCTGTTCTAATCTTCTGGCTCATTCTCATTCTCTGGCTTGTTCTCTCATCAGCCTGTATAAAACTCTCCTGGTAAAACTGCCTCCCCTCCTTTTTTTCTGAGCTCCTCACTCTTATGTAGCCCCTTTTATTTCTCTGTTGAGCATATCCTATTCTGTGAAATCTTTCTCTGATTCATCACTTTGTCTGCCATTCAATTAGACATCACTTTCAAACATAGGCTCTTCCTTCTACAAACTAACTTTACCTTCTCTCTTCATTCCTTGGGATTAAATGTGTATACTAAGGACATGTCTGCTTTCTAGCCAGAGGGATGAAAGATGTGCACTAAGGTGGAGCCACACAACTAGAAACAGATTTTCTAATAAATAAAAAAATCTTGGGGTTCACAGTGTGATCAAATATTCTGCAACAATTCAACATATCTGGTTTTATGTTGAGGTCTTTGATCCACATGGACTTGAGTTTTATGCAGTGAGATAGTATAGATAACTTTCTCTTCTTTGAAAGTCTGGTAGAGTTCTATGATAAAACCATCTGGCCTTGGACTTTCTTTGTCATTAAAAGACTTAACAACTGCTTCTATTTCACCAGTGGTTATATTGAAATTATTTATCGTATCTTGATTTAACTTGGGTAAGTGGTATCTATCAGTGAAATTATCCATTTCATTTAGATTTTCAAACTTGGCAGAGTACAGGATTTAGAGTATGTCCTTATGATTCAGTAGATTTTCTTGGCATCTCTTTTTATGTCCCCTTTTGTTTCTCATTTTGTTAATTTGGATGTTTGTTCTGTCTTTTAGTTAGTTTGGATTGCTGGGGTTCAGGAATCTCCACATAAACCATACAAACACCAATTTCAGTTAAGCAAGAATAGTTTACTCAATGCTCACCCAAAGACTGATCAATCAGGATCACAAAAAAAGGAGCCAAACTGTGATGCCAATCTGTTCTTAGGACAAGCTTTTTGCATGAAAAAACAAGGTCAGAAATTCAGAAGGCAAGGATGGAGGCAGTACTACATTTTGGCTAACTAGACAAAATATTATCAGCTAATTTCTAATTTTATTGGTCCTAAGTGAGGTAAGAGAAGTAGTGGACAGGTGTTGGACAGGGGAGTTTCAGAGCATTGAGATTTCAGAGTATGAGTAACACAACCATTGTGTTATAAGCTTTTAGAAGAATTATTCAATGTCATTTATGGGTAATTACTCCTGAAAAGTGGAGTCTGAAAACCTGAGCTTAATTTCACCTTATGAGCAAACTGAAGACAGAATACAAAATGGCTAAGTCATGTTAAAAGGAACAGGCCTCAACATGGAAAAGGATTTGTCTATCTTGTTGATATTCTTAAATAAACAACTCTTTCTCTAGTCGTTCTATTGTTTTCTTTGTTTATGTTATTGATTTCAGCCCTCATTTTGATTAATTCTTGACATCTACTACTCTTGCATGTGCTTTCTTCACTTCGTTCTAGAGATTTCAGATGTGCTGTTAAGTTCCTAGCAGGAGATCTCTCTAATGTCTTCATGAACTCACTTTAGTGCTATGAACTTTCCTCTCAGCACTGCTTTCATTGT